TGAGGAAGACCAATTCATTTGTATGTTTTTTACCAGTATGCTTTATAAGGAATAAATTAATTAAGACATGTTATGGTTTCACCCTTCTTTCCCCTTATCGATCTGGTCAATGGAAAACCTAACCCAATGCCTAGTCCACTCTGCACGCTACCTAACGAGCTACATGCTGTCCAGAGGGGGTCTGGTGGCAGCGACCCTTAGAAATTAAGACTAGAGTTAAGTATTTACCTTTAGTATTAGTGACCCCCAGTCTGGCAGTATAACCTCGCTTGCAACCAGCCTCTGGAACTCCTTTTTAGCCCTTCTACATTCTAGCTTTGCTTGGTTTCTGACTCTTGCATACATCCTCCTGTCCTGCTCATCATTTGACCCAACTCACGTCTTGAATTTCTGTTTTTTTCCTTAACTTTGTCGACCGCCGCATGGTTCATGTGTAGGGATCCCTTCGGAGTGAGGGTTGTGAACTCTTGGAACAATCTGCCAGAAAGTGTTGTGACTACACCGAGTGTGAGCTCTTTGAAGACAAGACTTGACCAACACTGGAGCGGGTTCAGGTACATTCAGGAGCCGGTGCATGCCCAGTACTTGCCAACAGTGCGTAACAGAGATGTGACCGATCACCCAAGCGGCTAACGAGCCGATCTTTTGGTGAAGAGGATAAAAGAAAAGGAAAAGTAATCAGAGACGTGACCGATCGCCCAAGCGGCTAACGAGCCGATCAGTGGTGAAGAGGGTAAAAGTAAAAGTATATCACTTGGAGCACCGTCGTCGGCATGCAACAAAAGTTTACAATTAACACTAATGGACATTCCCTTTACATAACACGGGAAGAGCAAAGCCCCAGGATACTCCCTTGTGGGACGTAGGCAATTTGACTGAGGATAGCTAACAAAACACAGATTATGCTTATCTTCAGGGGAGCGGCTTGGAATCGTTGTCATTTTTTATGCGAATACAATACTGTACTCACCAATGACCATATTTACAGCATGCCGGCGCGAAACTTATATACAATACCCTCATATACATTTATCTTCAATATGCTCCAGGGACCGTGTTAGACGGGTGTAAAATTGAAAGACTACTATGATATAAGTTGATGACAATTTTGGTCAAGAAATTGTTCGCTTTAGACCTCCTTGCAACATCTGAGCCAAATTTAACGTATCATACACTTTTGTTGGAAGATATTGTGGGGTGCGTGTTATTTGTTCACACTCAGGATGGGATGGAGAAAGGAAACTCACGATGTGCTCTCTGTATACATGTTGTATTGGATTTACAATGCAGCTTGGTGCTGGGAAGGCAGCATGGTTACAAGCGTGATGTAGAGAGAGCTGGTTGGTGAGGACGCTCAGAGAAGGACAGCTTGTGGGTCGCCATGCTCGCCAGCGGGAGAGAGGACCGCCAGGCAGGCGGAGGAGCGAGGAGGGCCGCCAGGCAGCGGCGGAGGAGGAGGTGTTGCTGGCTGCGGCTGTAGTTAGAAAAAAGAGTGATCACCACGAGGTCAGGTCTAAAATAGCGGGGGTAGGCGTGGCTTAGTAGTTGACCCCCGCTCCGTGATGTATGGCGGCGCTGGTTGACCTAGACCACGAGGCATACACTGGGGAATTGGTGGGGTCGGCTAGGCAGCGACAAACAGCGTTTGTAGGGGAGAATTCCACTACAATACTCCCCCTTCCCTCCAGGTAGTGTAGGAGACTTGTTGTCTGCAGAGTTGCTTAGCACATGTGAGGCAGAACGGGCGGTGCATGCCTCATGTGAGACAACGGCGATGGCGTGGATGAGCCGGTCGCTGGATACAACTGTCTAGATACACCATATCTGTTGGAGTAAAGAGGGAGAAAAAGGGTGTGTGGGGGCGATGAATGTTGTGCTTCCCTCACGGCAGGTACAGAGTCGTCAGATGCGCCTGCTGGGGTGTGTGGGCCTGGGTCAGGAGCAGGGGCTGCGTCAGCAGAAGCGGATGAGGGCTCGTGACAGCAGCTGGGTCCACGACAGCAGCAGGGTGCAGGACATTAGCAGGGAGTACCTGAGGGAGAAAAGAGGGGTGTGTGGGTACGCACTCAGGAACAGAGGCCGCGTCAGGGGCGGCAGGGGTTACTGCTGGGCCGGGGTCGGCGTCTGAGGCAGGACGGGTGTGCTGGGGTCGGTAGGACGTGGTGCTTGGGGGCAGGAAAAGGAGCTGGTGTCTGCTAGGAGAAACAGTGCTGCTGTAGGGTGTCTAACCTGCGGTGTAGAGACAGTAGTTGTAGAGCCAGTGAGAGCTGCTTCTGGGTGGATAAGCCAGTCTTCCATGTTGCTTGAAGACTGGGAGCGTGATCAGTTTCTCCTCCATCCTGTGTGAGTGCGAATCTCCGGGAGTCACCATTTGTGGGGTATGAGATTGTTTGGTGTTCACTCAGGATGGAATGGAGAAAGGAAACTCAAGATGTGCTCTCTATATACATGTTGTATTGGATGTACAATGCAGCTTGGTGCTGGGAAGGCAGCATGGTTACAAGCGTGATGTAGAGAGAGCTGGTTGGTGAGGACGCTCAGAGAAGGACAGCTTGTGGGTCGCCATGCTCGCCAGCGGGAGAGAGGACCGCCAGGCAGGCGGAGGAGCGAGGAGGGCCGCCAGGCAGCGGCGGAGGAGGAGGTGTTGCTGGCTGCGGCTATAGGTAGAAAAAAGAGTGATCACCGCGAGGTCAGGTCTTAAATAGCGGGGGTAGGCGTGGCTTAGCAGTTGACCCCCGCTCCGTGATGTATGGCGGCGCTGGTTGACCTAGACCACGAGGCATACACTGGGGAATTGGTGGGGTCGGCTAGGCAGCGACAAACAGCGTTTGTAGGGGAGAATTCCACTACAACATGTTGTATTGGATGTACACTGCAGCTTGGTGCTGGGAAGGCAGCATGGTTACAAACGTTGAGTAGAGAGAGCTGGTTGGTGATGGGGCTCAGAGGAGGACAAGCTTGTGGGTCGCCATGCTCGCCGGCGGGAGCGAGGACCGCCAGGCAGGAGGAGGAGGAGGAGGTGTTGCTTGCTGGTTGGTGTAGGTAGAAAAGGGAGAGGTCACCACGAGGTGAGGTCTTATATAGCGGAGGTAGGCGTGGCTTAATAGTTGACCTCCGTCATGTAAGGCGGCGCTGGTTGACCTAGACCACGAGGCATACACTGGAGAATTCGCGGGGTCAGCTACTCAGCGACAAACAGCGTTTGTAGGGGAGAAATCCACTACAATACTCCCCCCTTCCCTCCAGGTGGTGTAGGAGACTTGTTGTCTGCAGGGTTGCATGGCACATGTGAGGCAGAACGGGCGGTGCATGCCACATGTGAGCAAAACGGCGAGGGCGTGGATGAGCCGGTCGCTAGAGGACACAACTGTCTAGATACACAATATCTGTGGGAATAGAGAGGGAGAAAAAGGGTGTGTGGAGGCGATGAATGTTGTGCTTCCCTCGCGGCAGGTACAGAGTCCTCAGATGCGCCTGCTCGGGTTTGTGGGCCTGGGTCAGGAGCAGGGGCTGCGTCAGCAGGAGCGGATGAGGGCTCGTGACAGCAGCTGGGTCCACGACAGCAGCAGGGTGCAGGACAGTAGCAGGGAATACCTGAGGGAGAAAGAGGGGTGTGTGGGTCCGCACTCAGGCGCATGGGCCGCGTCGGGAGCAGGGGCTGCATCAGGAGGAGCGGCAGGGGGTACTGCTGGGCCGGGGGCGGCGTCTGAGGCAGGACGGGTGTGTTGGGGTCGGTAGGACGTGGTGCTTGGAGCAGGAAGAGTAGCGGCTGTCTGCTTAGAGTAGGAGAGCTGCTATAGGGTGTCTAACCTGCTGTGTAGAGACAGTAGCTGTAGAGCCGATGAGAGCTGCCTCTGTGTGGATAAGCCAGTCTTCCATGTTGCTTGAAGACTGGGAGAGTGATTGGTTTCTCCTCCATCCTGTGTGAGTGGGAATCTCCGGGGGTCACCATTTGTGGGGTACGTGATGTTTGGTTCACACTCATGATGGGATGGAGAAATGAAACTCACACTGTGCTCTCTGTATACATATTGTATTGGATTTACAATGCAGCTTGGTGCTGGGAAGGCAGCATGGTTACAAGCGTGATGTAGAGAGAGCTGGTTGTTGAGGGTGCTCAGAGGAGGACCAGCTTGTGGGTCGCCATGCTCGCCGGCGGGAGCGAGGGCCGCCAGGCAGGAGGAGGAGGAGGAGGTGTTGCTTGCTGGTTGGTGTAGGTAGAAAAGAGAGAGGTCACCACGAGGTGAGGTCTTATATAGCGGAGGTAGGCGTGGCTTAATAGTTGACCTCCGTCATGTAAGGCGGCGCTGGTTGACCTAGACCACGAGGCATACACTGGGGAATTCGCGGGGTCGGCTACTCAGCGACAAACAGCGTTTGTAGGGGAGGGATCCACTACGATATGGCCACAGTTACGTAAGAAGGGCCTCGTGCAGTTAGAGACAAATATGAAAAGATATTAGGCCATAATTCCAAGACATGGTCACTAAGAATAGCGGACCGGGTGTGCAATTTGTTGACAACAACAAAGAGCGGTAAGTAAACAAACTGCAATTCCATTAAAATAATGTCATCAGCGGCATTTGTGTGTAGTAGGTTAAGGTGAAGTGATATTACGATTTATATAAATAAAATTATGACACAAGGTAAGGAACAAGGATTACTTTTCATACAAAAAATAAAATTATTCATAATTATATTTTAGATATAAAGAATGGAATACTCCAAAGTTGACCATTGAAGGAAACAATATGCAGTACATGGAAACGAAATTCTTTGATTAGTTTTCTGACTTTTTATATATACTTAGGCCAATTTTTTGGTGCTTCTTAAATACTATTAAAGTATTTGACATTGTGTACGTGTGATGAATGTTAAAAACTCCCGCTCGGCGGAAATATTGAACAAATATTTTCATTGGCTGACTGTTACAGTCCCCACCAATCACAGAGCATCTCTGTTCTCCGCCTTTAGTGTGGCAATGGCCGACAACCTCAGTAAGAAGCCCAGAAAGGGCATTCTGAAAAATTCGTCTAGTTTCGAAGGAAATGAGAGACAGAGAGAGTAAGTATTATATATACGGGGCAGTGAAAATTACCTGATACAATTCATGATTGTAATATTATGGTAGACGTGAGTGTTCAATGAAAGTAGGTTGTTGACATTTGTCGGCTCTCGCTTGACGGGCTTCTGTAAGATGCATTTTATAATAATATTATGATGTGTAACACGGGTTACTTCTTTACATCACTGTCAGTATGTCTGCTGAGTGATGAGAGTCGACACAGTAAATTTGTCTCAGTGTTACATACAAACGTTTTGGGAAATTAAGTGGGGAGGAGCGTTTTAATGAGGAAGTACCTATTACTTGGGAGAAGGGTCAAGGCAAAGTAATGATGCAATTTAAACGAGATTCGACACTCCCTATACTTTACCTGTTTAACTTTATTTATATGGTCCTTTGTATCTTGGGTATTATTGCGTTTACACACCGTTCATTCCTACCACTAATCTATTATCCTATTCGAATAAGACGTCTAATTATAAGATAATTTTCACCTATTACATTACCGGCGGAAATGTATAATAACAGAGATAGCATATCAAAAATGTTCTTTATTTTCTTCCATTAATCTTCCTCCATTATCGCCTGCCTCACCTCCAGCACTGCGTGTCACCGTCATAAATCATCACGCGCATGCGTTCCCGTACACGTCACGCATCCAATCAAAAGCGTTTATGCTTTTGGAACCAATGAAAATGATTTTGGGTTTAATTTGCAGTATTTGGCCCAATCAAATTCGAGTTTTATTTTGGGTCTCATATTTTGAAATTCAAGCTCAGTTCCCACCATGGAAGTCTGCAATGGGTGTCACTTAAAGTATATGGAGCTGATTGCGAGTTTTTGGAAAAAAATACGTAGAAACTATGGCATTATTTCGATCGCATGGTGTTCTTCCAACCTCAGTAAAGTGTACAAAGAGCAAGACTGAATGTAAATATCGCAAAGAACAACATATGTGGCGTTGGGTAAGAATCCCAGAATGCAACGGTGAACAAGAACCAGGCCAATAAGGTAAGAAATAGGTGATTCCATCATATGGCGAGAGTCAGTTAGGTTAGGTTAGGTTTGGTTTGGTTTTTGTTTTTCTAGTGTTTTTGGTGTATTTTGCCATGATTTTTTTCGGAAAACGTCCAATGAAAAAAATCGAAAAAATAAACCTGCTAATTTCCGCCAGAAATGAAGGTCATATTCGGTCTAAACACACACAGAGATCGGTGTGACAATGCAAATTTACCTTATCTTGTATTGCATATAATAAAATCAGTGGCACAATTGCAAATCGGTTTTCAGAGACTACTGTACTGTACATATTAAATGAAAGATTGTAGAACAATATTTGGTAATTGTATGAAAACACCGCTACCACCAGAAATAGTTGTATGATTGATAAAATTATAATTTTGGTGAACTTTTGGCAAAATTTTCGTTTCGGTCATCCTTGTATTTAGATATCTAACCTAACCAACCAAACCTAGCCACAGAAAAAAGGAACTATATCTAACCTAGCCTGGGGAGGACTTCCCCATTCTGGTGGGGGGGGGGTTAAATTCCTAAGATTCCCCAAATGACCAAAACTATAACGCTAATATGGAGGAATTCATATCTGCTTCCCCTGTCTCAGTAACAGTAATGGGTGCTGGACAACTCGTACCCATCAGAACATGTCAAGTCGTACCCAATTAAAAGATTACTCGTACCCAATTTCCGAGACAGTGCAGATGGGTCAACAGCTGGAGTTAGAAATTGATAATGAAGATGTTGAGCAGTTGGTGGAAAGTGTAGCAGAAGAGCTAAGTAACGAGGCTCTTATTGAACTGGATATATATATATATATATATATATATATATATATGTGTGTAATATATATATATATATATATATATATATATATATATATATATATATATATATATATATATATATATATATATATATATATATATATATATATATATATATATACATATATATATATACATATATATATATATATACACACACACACACACACATACATACATACTCTCCTCGACTTACAACAGGGTTCCGTCCCGACGACCAGGTCGTAAAGTCGAAAAGGCAAAAATAATACAGAAATTCTAAAATAAAATACAGTACAGTAAAAGTAATCAATAATGAAAAATGAACAAAGTGTTACTGTGCACTTACCTTTAATGTAGTCAGCTGAATGCACATGGGACCTAATTAATTTTTAAATTAAGCATGGAGACTACATTAATTGGATGAGGCAGAGGAGACAGGGCTAGGTGGGTCATCAAGTTCATTTTCTTCAGACAGGCTAACATACTTGCTTGTTGAAGGTATTGGATCATCTTTAGGGAGTGAAGAGGCAGCAGTGGTGGGGAGACAGCAGTGGGGGACTTCTTAAAAAATATGACCAATTTAGACTGCACAGTTTGCCTTTTCTTTTCATTGTAAATCTCTCTGTAGCAAGCAAGTGCATCTTGGATCAGTCTAAACTTTTGCAAAACGTTCAACATTTTGATCCATTTCTTCAAACATTTGCATCCCCTTATTGATAGTAGCAAATGCCTCTGCCATTTGTTTCACTGAAAACTTTTTGGGGGGTTGCAGGTTCTTCTACATTTTGTCTCTCATCTTCCTCTGCAATTTTCTGTGCATCCAGTTCAATAAGAGCCTCGTTACTTAGCTCTTCTGCTACACTTTCCACCAACTGCTCAACATCTTCATTATCAATTTCTAACTCCAGCTGTTGACCCATCTGCACTATCTTGTTACTAATCTCAGAAATTCCTTCATCTTCATTAAATTCTTTGATACTATTCACATAACTATTCAGGACCTTCTTTCATATTCCATTCATGCACTAACCTGTAACCTCAGCCCATGCTGCACCTATGTTCTTTGTACATTGCAAAATGTTGTAGTCCTTCCAAAACTCTCTGAGCGCTTTCTCACCTTCAGTAGCAGCAATAGCCTGAGCAAAGGTCGTACGTAAATAATACGCTTTAAAAGCAGCAATAGCACCTTGATCCATGGGTTGGATGACAGAGGTAGTGTTAGGTGGAATGTACACTACCTTAACATCAGGGTGCAGGTCGTCCAGGTGTGGTGGGTGTCCCGGAGCATTATCTAAAATTAATAAATGTTGAACGCAACCCCTTGTTGCAGACAATAGTCCTTGGCTCGTGGAATGAAACAACTCGGGCACCAATCCTCAAACAGTGCTAGGGTCATCCATGCTTTCTTATTACTGCAATAAAACACTGGCAGTGTGTGCTTGCTAACATTTTTAAAAGCCCGTGGGTTCTCTGAATGATATATCATGAAGGGTTTTACCTTGAAACCAGCTACATTCCCCCCCAACAGAATTGTGATTCGGTCCTTGAATGCCTTGAATGCCTTGAATCCCAGCATGGTTTTTGCCTCTTTGTGGGTGTGTGTCCGCTCTGGCATGCGTTTCCAGAATAAGCCAGTTTCATCCACGTTAAATATTTGCTCAGGCAAATAATTTCCCTCCATGATGACACGATCTAGCTCCTCCTTAAAAGCTTCAGCAGCACCCACATCAGCACTTGATGCCTCTCCACTCACCTTTATACACTGCAAATTGTAACGTTTCTTAAACCTTTGGACAGTGGCGTAGCTAGAGTGTGAGCCGCCCGGGGCGGCCCTTGAGTTTGCCGCCCCCCCGTGACCCTACAAAAAATACATATTGCACAGTGACTCACTCTTTTATATATATATATATATATATATATATATATATATATATATATATATATATATATATATATATATATATATATATATATAAATAGTTTGCCTTACTGTTGTCAGACAAAAGCCACCCCGATCAAAGTAGGGGGCTTTTGTCTGGGTGGCTTTCGTCTGGGGGGCTTTTGTCTGGGTGGCTTTTGTCGGGGGGGCTTTTGTCTGTACCCCAGTGAGGATAGTGTCTTAGTATAAAATCGCAATGCTGTGAAACAAAATCTTAATATTTAATCTCAGTACCGCAGCAAAAGTCACATCAATATTTTTTAACCAATACTTTAATATTTCTTACCTTATAGTATTATGTCTTCCAACGAAGTAAATAACTGGATCGAAAACACAAGAGAACTTAAAAGTCGTCTAGCCTCCCCTCGTCTTGTCACGATGGAGACTTGTGCAGAACTGAAGTGAATTGCTTGTAACTGGTGGATTGGTCGGCTGTACATGAACTGATATGACCCGAGACTGCATGGTTTTGCAGCTACTGGAGACGTTAATCCTTCCCTTTGTATCGGCGGCAAGTTAATCCTCGTCGTGTCTGACCTAACACCTGACCCACACCACATGAGCTCACTGGCGTACTTGTTTGAAGTTGTTTCCTTAATCCTCAACAGGTTACAGGTTGTGTGTGTGGGGGGGGGCGCATAGCAAGGGTGTACGTAGCTCATGACGTGGCCGTGATGATGTGGGTCAGGTGTTAGGTCAGACACGACAAGGATTAACTTGCCGCCGATACAAAGGGAAGAATTAACGTCTCCAGTAGCTGCAGATATGGGTGATGAGCAGACCCAAAAGTGCCGCCCCCCCCTAGCTACGCTAGTGCCTTTGGAACCACCCATGACTTGCTGTGAAGCTTTGGTCGCACTCATCTCCTGCCTACTCTTTCAGGCTTTCGAAAAGGCTTCTTGCCTTAGCCTGTATGTTTAGAAGGCTTTAGGGTACACGCTTTTGCAGTTGATCTTCCATCCACATCACAAGTAATTTCTCTATCTCATGAAGAGGACCTTGTCTTTTTTTCGTTATTATTGTTCCCTTTATAGGTGCTGATCCTTTCACTACCTCACGAATTCGTTCCTTGTCCTTCAAAATTGTTGATATCATTGAGTGAGTGAAGCCAAGGCCGCAAGAAATGGTTGCTACCGTTTTTCCATTTTCATATTGCATTATTATTTTAATTTTCATCTCAAAAGTAATTGACTGTCTCTTTTTCTTCTCAGCACCACGAGAACTCTCACTTTTATGC